GCCTTCGGGGCTAAGTGCAGGGAGCAAACGACGGGAACGATCATCTTCACGCTGCAGGCTGCTGGTGTCGGTGCGAGGGTAATGAAGGTGGAAAGGCAGCGACTGAGCAGCAGTTAATTTTCTTAATCAGCAGGGATGTTTTTGTAGAGCTCTGCAGAATGGTTTTCATCAGGCTCGTCTATTCCTGGTCGAGCCCAAGACTCGAGTCATTTACCTTTTTACTTCCAAAATGTGAAACAAACCAGTTGTTATTTAATTGAATTAAAATGTCTTCAGGGTTGAAGATGCTGTTTCTGACAGTCAAAAGTTCAAGGAAGCACTTGCTATTGAAAAAAGCGCCGTATCATGTTGGTTTTTGCTGTCAGTCAATTTGAAGGAGCAGCTGCTGCAGAAGAAATTGGATTTGGTAACTGACAGTTTAAGATTTATGAATCCCAACGGGAACGTTTGTTCTCCAGCAGCAGGAAAAGCACGAGAAATGAACAGAAGGAAAAGTGGCTCATTTTAATTAAGCCTCATGAAAAAAGGCAAAGAAAGAATAAGCACTTTTCTTACATCACAAATTCTTAAACTAATTAGCATGTGCTACTCTGATGATCTTGGACTGCTCAGTAAATATCTGCTACACTCTCTCTCAAGCCAGGAAGCAAAAACCTACACTGCACAGTCAATTTGCAAACTGCTGACTTCTGCCAAAACTTTCTCCTGCTGCTACAGCAAAGCGCGTTTGGCACAATCGGATGCTAAACACATACTCTTCATATGATTTTTATTTACAGTCTATTACATTTTTGCTCACATCCTCGGTTTCTCCCCTCAGCTGTTGAAGCCCGGGGCTTCTCAATATTTCTTGAGCAATTTAAGAGATCGTTTTAGCCTTTTTTTTTCTGAATGCACAGCGGTGTGGCAGGTGTGCACGCTTCACACGGCCGAGAGACACTGAACTCAAAGAGTTCAACACGGGGTCAATGGCAATCTCATCACACCACGCATCTTCATCAGAAGTCATCTGCTTGTGTAAAGTGTTCTTGAACAGGCCCAATTTGTTCAAGAACATTAAATACTTGAGATTCAGTGAAGGACCAGCAAACATAAAACTGATATCACTCAAAGTTAAAAACAGACATGCTTGGTGTGGCTGGTTGATCATCTGCCCTCAGGTAAGACACTCATGTGGTATGTGAACAGAAGTCTGTGAAGCCTCCACTCAAAGCTTACATGAATTAAATATGTTCTATTTTGCAGATATTAAATGATTGACCTTTTTTGACAACATTTATTGTTAATCTGATAATAAAAAGTGATGTAAAGTCAGAGGGTAAATGCAAAGCTTCAGCATAGGAGT